CCCCCCAAGGACGACCACGACCAGCACAAGCGTGGCGACGTCCCTCCCCCGAAGGACCCCAAGGATGCCCCCAAGCCTAAGCCCGCTCACAACTAAATGGGTGCTTCTTGATGGGTCAAAACAGATGGAAGTCGACTTCCGACATCAGTTCCGGAAGGCTTGTTGGGTATGGCGAGCAAAGGAGATGCGCTCTTTTAATTTAATTTTCTAATTTCCTTTCTGTTTGCACGTCCAGCTGGATATAATTTTGTGTCTTTGATTTTTGTATTGTCTTTCGTTAAACATAGTAAATGGATTGGTCGACCACAACATTTCTTGCTCCTCTTTTTCCTCTTTTCACTTTCATTTCCCTTCTTTTGCTTCGATAATATCTGGGCCTTTTCGATGAAAACTGTTGCATCTAGATCACCGCACCGCACCTCTCCTTCAGTATGAAGAAGCGGAGGTGCTAGGGTGTCTCAAGTCATAAGAGCGCTTTGAGCAGCCATAGTGTAAGAATGCGATATCGGAATAGCAATTTTGCCCTAGGGCTAGCGCAGAGCCGGCGAAAATACGTATAAAGGTCTCTCTACAAGTTACAATACTATAGAAAGAAGTTCGAAGCCGTCATACACAACTATTTCTCTGCATACTCTTCTCATGTGTCTCAATGTCCGGAATCGCCAGCGGTGACATAAGATATGCCACTACTCCGACGCCCGCCTCTTTGCTTTGATAGCCGCGTCGTCGGTTGGAGACTTCTAAAAAATCGGACAACCGGGTGGTCAAACTGAAGTACGGCGTCGACGTGAAATGCTGGGTTGGTCAATTGTTCCTTGATCAAACCCAAGACGTTACGTTGCCAAGTGGACGTGAGGGTACACTTGAAGGTGTTGGGTACCGATTAGAGACAAATCGAGTTTGTCAAAGGGGGGCGTTCCTCCACAAAATGTACTCGATTCCTTCGTCGCCCTGTACGTTCCGGTTCATATCCTATTTCTTGTACGCTGAAACTATCGTGGTTGATGAATGCACCACCGTTTTCAGTTCGGTAAGGCAAGGCCGATATGTACGGGCTTTCGGTGAAGCCTCTTGATTAACGATTTTCAAGGAGAATATCCAACCGGCGTTGGGGACCATGACGTTGGACCTCGCGATGATGCCGAATCCGAGTTTCGATCATGACTGAAAAGACAGTGGCTGCCTCAGCACGTATCGTCATTTCCATTTGGTCCCTACCATTATCCGTATTGCTCGTTTCTTCTGCTGTATCATACCATGCTACCAATTCGTTCGATGTTATTTGTACCCATTTCATTCCTTGTTGCTATCAAAATAGAGACAATTCGAAATTACCGTTGATGAATATTTCTATGACGGATCCTTTTTCGGTCCCACCTAACCAATGATGAGACTATCCTCTGTTGCAAAGTTATACTGGGGGACCTCCAGATTCAATGGCGCAGGGCCTCTCCTCGCCCGTCCAGAGATATCGTAATGGGATCCATGACACGGACAGAACCAGCCTCCATAGTCACCTGCCTCGCCAATTGGGACACACCCAAGATGTGTACACACACCTAAGTTTTGTCAACCTAGTCCACTGTTTGGAATCGACTGTCCCGACTTACCAAGCATGACCAACCATTCCGGCTTCTGTACGCGGTCTTCGTCCGGCTGGGGATCGCGGAGGTCCTTCCAGTCTATTTTGCGAGCTTCGTCGATTTCATCTTGTGTCCGGTGACGAATAAATACAGGCTTTCCACGCCATTTGATAATCACCTAGTCTCATTAGCCCATGCCGCTACCAATTGCATCCTGAGACACGTACATTCTTGCCCTCGGGAATCGCTCCAAGTCCAATTTCGACCTTTGCCTGGGCCAATACATCCGCCGAGGCAGACATGTTGACCAAAAAATCTACTCAATTAGTGTCACCTCGGAAAGGCGTGGTCTGGAATAGATACCATGCAAAGTGGCCTTGGCCCCCGCTGCCGAGATCAACCCCAGCGTCCCGACCATGAAATACGAAAACACCAGATTGCTCCGCACCGGCTTGTGTGAGGCATACTTCCTTCCAAACTCGGGAATCTTTAAGGTCGCATCGAATCTATGTTTCTGGGTTTCGGTTGGGGTTTGCGAAGCAGTTTTGGTCCGGGTAGAATGTTGGATGGATCTTTTCTGGTATGAAAGCACTCGGGGAATTAACTTGCACTGTGGCAAGAGCGACATTCTGCCTTTGGTGCGATTGAAGTGGCAGAGTCAAATGCTCTATGCTTGTAGAAATGGTATCGAGAATGAAGACATGTAGTTGTCAGTTTGACATCATTTATGCAAGAATTGTATCATAACACCATTGAAATAATTGTAACAATGATGACAATTTCGAAACCCTGGAGGCTTGACGATCGTTTTTGGTCACTTCCCGATTCGAGTTCTTGTTGAACAGGCTCGCCCATGCTCAACACAAACGGCAAAAAGATGCGAGTGGGAGAGCCATCGACCGTTCTTTGATGATCAATACCGATAGTCACACCCAGCTCTGATTACTGAAAGTCGAAATGCTTGGATCATCTGTGCATCAGGATACTTATCCTTCAATGCCGGCTCTTCTCACTAACGCCGTCGATCCGAGTATCCAACGAACAAGGACTAGCATCAGATCTGGCGATCTAATGAATTCAGAGCATCGTTTCAAAACTGGAGAGGCAAATGTAAGATCAAAGTTAGATCAGGAGATCGCAGAAGCAGTACAACCAAAGGTGATGGGGACAGAGCAGCCATAGTTTTTTCACTTGCTTTGTGCATCGGGACGTGGTGTCTTGGTGTCTTGTGGCTTATCCCGACCCAGGCCGGTACGAGGTGAAGAGCCAATAGTGTATTTGGCGCGGGCCTTTCAGCATCGCTGGCATGGACTATCAGTCGTAAGCATCAAACCCCGGTTACACCGAAGCTTGTGGCTCCGGCAATGATCGCAGGCGTACCGACATGACGAGCCAGCAGGCGGAGGTTGCGTCGGATGCCCTGGGTGTGGATAGGTTGACGGGCTCAGTCAAAGGGCTTTCAACTTCCATGTAGATCATTAGGCTGTGAGCGTTTTGTCTCTTTTTATTTTTGCCAGCACCACCAACTGACAATCGCATCAGTGAAATAGGCTGAGGGAATATCCATGATGCATGGGTAAAATTACGACATATTATTGCGATTGCGGAGCTGACGGGACTTCCCAATATGGTTCAAGTCGCACAGGTTGAAACGGTTACTGAGGCTGGTGATGATGAAGGCCACACCAGCAAGTCCCAGCTATGGGACTTGATATGTGCCGCAGACAGACTGTTAGGGATGATTTTAAATCTCTCTCCAATCACTAGCCGCCATCAACTAGCAACGACACACTCGGTATCAATTGATGGCATCGTGCAAAACCAGGTATATCTCTGTCGCTTGACAGATATTGCGAACAATATTTAACATCTGGAGTATTTGAACACGTTACATGGATCCAGTACGGAAGTCTGCACATTTGCTTTGAAGCTTTCAGGAGAGCTCAAGGTGGCTCGCCTCTCAAACCCCAGAGATCTGGTGATCAGGAGGTGTGCATGGTGCGCAGGGTGTCAATCCTAATCATATCGTCCAGTTCTTACACTATTATGTCGCCATGAGGGTTCATCTGCCTTTGACCCTGCGGCAAGGCCCAGACGGTGAAGATTTCTTTAGCTGTTTGGCTTGCGTCGATGCATGTGAGTCACTGGTGCAATTATATCAATTTCTGAGTCGGAGGCTTCCTCCAGGGCTCTTTCTCTCCGAGATGCTGGATCTGCAAGCTTTCACCGCGGCAGCTACCCTTCTTCTCATATCCCACATGTCGTCCTCCATCCATTTCTTGGATATGGGCATCGACAAAATTAAGATCAGTAATGAAGTGGGACAAGTCATCAAGCTCTTGCACCCAAAGCCTCATGGCACTTCTGGCTCTGGGATTGCTCACAATGGCGTTACCACGCTATGCTCGCTGAATGATATGCTTCGGGAAACTGAGAACGGCGTTGATCTACGCCAGATAGCTTTCCATGTTCTACTTCTCGGGAAAGTGCAGACGCAACGCACATTCTTCGCAGGCTGATAGCCCCTGGTCTTTCCAACTACTGCCAGGGCTGGGCTTCTTCAACACAAACGAGCAGTTCCCCCCTCCAAGTCTCGATGCAAATATGTCAATCGAGCCCTCTTTCGACGCGCAGAATTTGCAATGGGACAGAATTGCGTGCTCCGTTGAAGACATTCATGATGACTTGCTATAACATACCCTTAAATGTTTCCACGGACGAAAGGAACCGCCTGGGCCGGTCGAAGAACCTTGATGATTTATAGCTGTTCGTATATAGTGGACCAAGGCCGGCCCGTTAGCCCTGCAGTCTGGTTTGAGCGGCCACTCCCTGAATGCAGTCGATCTGAAACTTATCTGGAAATGCATTACTATTCTATGCTCTAGAGGTTGATGTGTCTGAGGCTAAGGAAACACATAGATACAGGAATCACCAATTGCATATATAAAATCCTCACAGGATACGATGCATTATATACAAACAATCTAAGTTGTCAAGATAGATTCGAAAAGTGGGCTGCTCTCGGACATCAACCCACGAGAACATGAACTCGTTTATGCCAACTTCGAAGCCTCATAGGCTTGCTTAGACCAGTTGCTGAACTCGACAAGCAAATGCTGGCGATGGCACTCAACAACATCCTCTCCACAAGCCGCCGGGAAATAGATCGCCAGGTCGACATCGAAGCCTTGACCGTCTGCGTGATCCTTAAACTGGTGGTACAGCTCCATGATTTGGATGCCTCCTTCAATAAAGCCTCGGGCAGTCATTTTGGTGGTAAAGGTCGGGTCGTCTTTAACAAAATCGGCACGGACCACATCGAAGACAAGCGAAAACAGAGTTGGCTTCTCGCCTAAAGTTTCCAATACAGTCATTGTCTTTGGCTCTGTTCCAGGGCGAACGACCCAATGTTCGGGGTGAGCAGCAAGTTTTTCCTGCTCTGGGAGCATGCCGCCTTCTGCGGGAAGGAACCAGTCGATGAAGTCCTTTGAGGTGAGCCCTCGTGGAGAGAGTACGATGCGCGCTGCCTTCCACTCTCCATTTGAGTCGGCAGAGACCGTTCTCCAGTATTCGGTGCTAGCAGCCGTTTTGCCGCGAAGGAGGCCTATCAGGCGATCTTCGCCTAGCAGGCGTCGGACCAACATCATCGATCGACGTGCGAATGCCGCTTCAAGGTCTTTGGTCTCACACTTTGCGTCGGGTCCTTGGCGGATGTCGATGGTGAAGGGCGTAGAAGGCATCTTGTCGAGGGATGATAATTGAAAAACACACGGGATTTTGAGTATAGGTGACTATAAGGTCTGTAGAGTCTTTCAACTGCTATGTGCGGAATGCTTCCCCTTTTTAACCTGGACTGAAGCAGCATGTTTGCCATCGCAAGATTATGAATAATCGGTGTCCGCGGACGATGTAGGCCCGACCTCCGACCTGAAGTACATTATTCTCGGCAAGGGCTTCGGCACGGTCATGTTTTAGACCGCGGACGAAAACTATGCCCCGCACACTCTTTTATGTTTGCCTCATTGGTCATTTGTGCCATCATTTCGAAGCGCTGACTGCCTGTTTCAAGCAAGCGTCTTAAGTCTGTCGATTTCATTCCATGTCAATGTCTACCGAACAAATGACGGTATGGAAATCTATCCGACTCGGGTCTCTGTAAGTTATTCATTTTGTTTCTTGATTAGGGATTAGCTCCTCCCTGATAGGGCTGTATATCAATAAGTGATATGAGGTTTGGAATGCTGCTGCAAACGCATCTGCACTCCAAAGTTAGTACCCACAGCATATTGACCCAGTTCTTTGCATCTGGGGAGAGCCAAAAAGCTACAAGTACGGCCATGATCATCCAGCATTTAGAACCTTAATTCCTGCTGCGGTAAGACAATCTACTTTCTAAATGTCTCTTGGAGCATCCTGTCCGATTTGTTGAGAAATATTGGACGCGTAGATCCACTGCTATTGGGGAGGTCCCTCTATTATAAAGGTATAAAGCGCCCCTAAAATAATCAAGCCAAAGTCTAGATAATGGAAATCGGTTTTGTGATTTACATAGCTTTATTTTTTTTTACTTGCTCAATAATATATCAAAGCCAACGGCCAATGCAAATGAAACAGAATCACGCGTTGATGTTGAATGTCGCTTTTCTCATAAACTCAAAAGCCTCCTCGCCTTTTCCAAGCCCGAGGGCAACATTTCGGCTTACGGCCTGCTTTCTGCAACAACCGGAAGTACAAGACACGAGTCATGATTTCCTTCCGTGTGTATATAATGTTGGCCCACATTTTCATCGTCGGATTCCTGAGGCTTCATCACTTCAACCGAAGGCGCACTCAAAAAGTGACCACCGACGCGAAGCATGGTTCCTTCACCAGCTGCAAAAACCATTCCCATAGGCCACAGAGTGATTTCCAACAGAACGATAGTTCCTGGTGAAATCTTTTCCTCGCGATCGTGTCTATAAAAGACCTCCTGTCCATCTGAGCTTGACCGTGTCTGGTCACGCGACACAGACGAAGAAGCTCGCAGGAATCCCTGAGGGCCAAAGAGCTTTGAGGTGTCAGCAGTTGGTACTTCGCTTTCTGGCACTGGACACGGGAAGTTGACCCCCTCAAGAAGTTGCCCGCAACTGTCAATCTTCCGGAGCTGAACGACAACATCCATATCATCTCTTTGCTCGCAGGACATCCAGAGACGGACCTTGGCGTAGCCGGCGATCTCAGTGTACTCATTGAACATTAGGGTAAACTCCTGTTGATTGTTGTTAGTTCGTTGATCAAATGACAAAACCAAGAATTCAAACAAAGTTCGGATAACGTACAGATGTAGAAGCCTCGAGGCCGTGCCCATCATGGTAAACAAAGGATTCTCTGTCCAGTGGAGATTTGTGCAGTGTTTTGGTTACAGCGTCGAGATAATATGTTTCTAAGCTTTGTCGATGGAGTGGGAACCTGGTCTCTGGTCTTTCCACGATGCTCGGAATAGATCCACACCCATGAAGAGACAATCGCAGAGGTGGCGTATCCTGCTCCCAGCCATTCATTATCCCCTTGCAATAGCGATCAAAGAACCTTTGCAAGTCATCATTGGAGTTGCGTTCGTACATTTCATACCATTCGAAGTTGGCATGAACGCGCATCCATTTCTTTGCCGAACCTGCGCGGCGAAAGGTGTCAAAGGACCCGTAGACATGGAATGGGTTGGCAAAAGATCCCAACAGATAAAGTGGGACATTAATTTTCTCGACTTCATCATACTTTCCAGCCCAGTATTCGTCGAAAAGCGGATGGGTTTTCACCATTTGGGTCATGTCTTGTACTTCATGGTTCCCAGCGACTCCCCACTGGTACTTTGACATGAAGGTATTGTGCATTGCAAAACCGCCACGACGGAGAAGTTGCCGGTAAATCCTTCCCAGGGAGCCAGCGCTTTCAAGGCGGGATGGGACTGTCTAGAGGCGAAGCTGACTTGGGCTTTTGCCAAGTATGAATTCCCGCCCATGCAGACGGAGCCATTGCACCACAACTGTTTCGACAAAAAGTCAATGGTGTCGTAGATATCCTCGGCCTCTTGTTCGCCCCAGAAGAAGAAGGTCCCTTCCGAAAACTGAGCGCCACGAGCGTCGACATTCACAATTGCATACCCCCGTCTACACCAATCTGCGGGATCCAGGCCTTCAAATGTCTCATATCCGGAAGTCCAGTCCTTGGGGACTCCCGAGCGATGCCAAATACCATCAAGGCTGATGCTCGACTTTCCATAAGGGCTCCAGCAAATCACCACAGGGACGTTGATTTCATCGTAAGAGACTGGCCGGTAGATGTCGGCGTACACGTTAAGCCCATCTCGTAATGGGATTGGTGTGTCGCGGTCAACGATGCAATCGACGAGCATGTGCTTCCTTCCGGGCTCTTTAACATGGCCCTTCGTTAGGACGAAATGTTGTGGGTTGAATTTGACCCCGAATGGTTTGTACCTGGGGTGCGCCTCAACTGGCAAAGGCTTGACAAAATTGAGGTCGGGGAATCGGGATTTGATTTTTTGCGTGGTAGTCATTGTTCAGGCTGGGTGTTCTGTAAGGTGTATGATTCAGGATGGATGCTCTGTGAATGTTACGAGACATATCGATGGCTGTACAGAAAATACTATTATTGGATTCCTCCGGCAGCGCGAGCCGCCACATGTCGCCCTCTAACACGATTGGGTTGGCCTTCTCGGCCAGTTGGATCAAACCAGGCAGCGCGGCCTTCTCATCCTCGTGCAACTCCTCCGGGTTGAGTTCGAGGCCGAACGACCCGCCCATCATGGCGACGTGGCCGCGAGCCCGCGCTGGCATCAACATGGACCGTCCAATCTCGGAACAGGGTACATCACGCATATTGTCATTATAGGAAACGATTCCCAATATGCCCCAGACAGTGAGAATACCTTTAACACAGACGCCGATATGTCAAGCCAATAAAATTCAATCAAAGTAGCGTGAGAAGAGCATGAGGGCGAATTGGCCCATCAGGCATGGATTTGGAAAGCGCTTTAGGAAGGATCGGAAGACGCAATCCCTGGAGCGCTGATGGTCTGCGGCCTATTAGTTCTTTCAAATCATTCTAACATACATCAAACCAGCTGGTTCTCGGATCCAAGGCGGGGAACATTTCGGTCCACGGACGGAGGCATATCCACGGACGAAAAGAGGCTCCGCACAGCAAACTGAGACCACAACGTCTGCGACCCCAAAATTTATCCATGCATTCATTTCCACGGTGTAGATTTTTATCGTACAAGGATCTGATCCCGATGCTTGAATCGTCCATCGCGTTTAATTTGCTCACAAAAGTCCTTCGCCCAATGCAAATGATAAGAGTCGCCCAACTCCGTGAACAATTTCACTGACATTTCCTGATTCTTCAACTCGGAATGACTGAATGGTGAATAAAGATATCGTCGCTAAATTGTAGGCAGCGTCTTATCCAAGCCTTGATTGACCATGAACCGAGCAACAGATGCGGCTTTGGGGTCTGTGGCTTCCCGCGAAAGATATTTCGAGGTACTTGATCAAGCAGCAAGATTAGAGCCAATGCGCCTCCACCATTGCCAGAGCTCTTTCTTGTGTCGAGGTCTCCGCTTTTAGCGGCTTCGTATGAGTCGCCTAGATGCTTGCGAACATAAGCATCATCTGCTGGGCTGCCGTACCAGAATGATTTCTGTTTCAGGTACTCGGATGGTGATTTAGAGCCCAAACCAGATATCGAGGGTAGTAAAGATTGAGGGTGTTATTGAAATCCCTGTTTATGCGCGCCCGTTTATACACTCACGAATGCTTGACAGTAAACCAATTAGGGATGAATCTTTTACGATGCGCAAGGACCATTGTATATCCTGAGGCTGAATGAGGCGCACTTTTAGGGAGCTGTTGAAAATTCGAGGGATGTTGAAGTCAAGGTCGTTGGAAACTCAGAGGTTTCCAGCGTGAAGGAAATTCTCAATGTAACCCCTACCTTTGGCGTCTTATTTCCGTGGCCATCCAGCAGTTAGCCCTATTTTCAACGGTTGCCTCCATCTACAAATACAAGATTCGGTCATCTCAGCCAAGTGTCTCTGGCCTGAAGAAAGTCGCAGCGTATAGTATTTTGTGCAAAAAAACCCATGTGAAATTTGGGTCCTTCCCTGGCAATGAAGTGGTGTGAAAGTTTCTAGAGCCGTTCAAAATATTAACGATATACACCAATTGTAGCATGAACGTTAGAAGCAGGAGGAAGATGGCGATCATGAAGGGTAGTTGTGACTGAGAAAGGATACTCCACCAACAATTTTCAGAGCCGCCTTCTCCAAAGACCCTGTTTTCTGGTCTTTTACTAGCGTTTCGTCTATATCCCACCCATCCGGTCCCGGCTCCAGTTTGGTTTTCCTTGTTGTGTTTTCATCCTGACTGAGATTTGGACTCCCCAACTGCCTGTCTATCATAGCCAAGAAGCTCGGACATAGAGTCCGCTTGCCTGTCCCCTTCAACGCTCTGCTGACGGTTTGTGCTCGAGTTGAGCGTCTCCACTACTTCCTCTTGCCAGAAACTGCCCAGAGAGGGTGGCGCCTCCGAGGTCTCCATCACCAATGACGCCAGAGGACCGGACACCAGCTCGACTTTGGGTCTGGGAGAGGCAGACGTGGCTGGTGAGTCTGACGAATTAGGTTCAGAAGGGTGTGAGAAGTTAAGAAGTGGAGAGTTGGTGGTAGTGATGTTGGTGTTGATCTGGTTGGTGAAAAACCGGGAGACTTTGTTACACTCCAGACTACACTTCATAGCGTGACCCACATTGCCTCGGTGACCAACCCCAACCTCTCAAAGTTGCCCTCTGGTGAAGATTTGCTGCATGGACAATGCAGTGCCATCAAAAGGCCACCTGGATCTAAAGTAGCTAAAATTCTATTTAGTATTCGCTGGAGCAAGCTTTTCCACGAATCGAACAAGGGGAACTATAATGACTCGATTGCTCTGGCTTTGGGTGCGTTTGGTTGGGGATGGCATTCGGAGACTGCGCTGAGCATCTTGAAGATGTTCGCCGGCGGATTCTTCGACCGTTTCCCTAAAGTGAAAATCATCATTGGACATATGGGAGAAATCCTTTCTCAGCGAACGAGACAGGACTCGCATTTATTGGGGAGATTCAGAATAGTGGTTATATTACGAAGGAGGACTTGGAGAAAATTGCATTCCGGAACGCTGAGAACTTACTTGCTGTCAAGACTAAGGTTTTACAAGTTCCTAGGGATTTGTTTCCTGACTGATTTCAACGCCGGCATGTGCGGCTCCAAGAACGCCTGGACTCTCATCATTCTTCGATTCTTCGCCAAATCTTTTGGATTATCGCCAAAATGTTTCCTGCTAAGCAGAAAGGCATGGCCATGAGTTTTTTCGCCTCCGCATCTTTCCTTGGACCGGTTCTCGTTCTTATTAGCGGTGAATATATGGGAATGGCCAAGGACTGGAAATGGATTATGGGCTTCCTTGCTATCTTGTCAGGGCCCGTCTGGATTGTTGGTGGTCTGCTTCTCCCCGAGACATACGCGCCTGTGCTCCTTCGCCGCCATGCAGAGCAGCTTTCTAAGATCACCGGCAACAGTTATAGAAGCAAAATTAAGATTGACCAGGGCAAAATGTCCTTTAAAGAGTCGTTCAAGTTTGCGTTGTCTCGCCCCTTGATCCTATTGTTCCGCGAGCCCATTGTGTTCTTGTTGTCGCTGTACATGGCTATCGTTTATGGTATGATGTTTGCTACCTTCCCTATTGTCTACCAGATGGACCACGGCTGGAACCAGAGTGTTGGTGGTCTTGCCTTCCTTGGTATCATGGTTGGAATGTTGATTGCCGTGGTCTACTCTCTCTGGGATAACAAGCGATACATCAAGGTCGAGGAAGAAAATGCCGGTTTTGCCCCGCCTGAGGCCCACCTCAACTCTTGCCTCATTGCCTCCGTTGCTATCCCAATCGGTCTGTTCTGGTTCGCCTAGACTAATTACTTATCGGTTCATTGGATGGCCAGTATCGCCGCTGGTGTGCCCTTCGGTTTCGGAATGGTCCTGGTGCTCTCAAGCATCATGAACTACCTAATCGACGCTTACACTATATTCACTGCCTCTGTCCTTGATGCTCATCCCCCGAGGCTGTAATATTCAACCAGCCAGCAACTTTTGTGCTTGTGCAAAGTAGGGCCATTTTTGAAGGGGTTACGATATGATTTGGGCACGGAAGCCTGTTTAATCACTTTCCTCAATTAGCGGCACCTAGCATTTCATCTCGCAAATCTTGCTCGCCCACTTCTCAGCCTCAATACTTTGGTTTTTGACCATTTCATAGCCATGCTCTCTTTTATCTCTCTTTTGCAGCACTAAGAATCCACTCCTTTTCATTCAACGCCTTGAACTACAGACAAGTGCGGAAGCAGATTCACCAATCAACACTCGACAATCGTCCCTAATTCCCACAGCCCAGACACTATCAACAGGTAATGGGTGCGGTTGACCTATGGAATATCTTATCATACACTACCAGAGAATACATCTAGGGGTTTCGGAGTCTTTTAAAGACTAGGTCTATAGGTAAATTGGGCACAAAGAGACTAGTTTCTTTTTTTGAATGTTTTCCAAAATAAGTGTCATGTACCTATTCGCAACTGCCTTCAACAAAAATTTAAATGAGCTCCGACATGAGGCCAGCGGGCTAATTGCCCTTGTGGCTTGGGTACTGATTCAAAACAAGATTAACGTATGAGCATACCTGTCGATCAATCTAGCAGGTTTTGCTTGACCCCAGTGGGTAAAAGAGTTTTCAAAAAGGTGACCATGGCCGTGTGAGCCAGGGCCATCCAACAGTGATCGTGTTGCAAGTCTATCGTGATAATTGCGGTGGTCAGAGAGATGAGGCAAATAGTACGGAACGAATAAATGATAATAATAATTCTTATTCTTATTATCTGTTGCTTGTTATTATTTGTTTTCATTTTATTTTAATCGCAATATGTTAAATGTAAGGATACGGAGCAGACAATGGAAGTGGCCTGCAACCGGCTTCGACCGAGGCTTCGAGGCAATGTACTATGAGGACTGGCTACACATGCACCAAATCGTTACGCTCGAGGAGGAGTGTGGTGCTCGTGCTCGCATCTAGGGTATCACCCGTGATTACGATCTCTTGTTAGCCGAAGAGCTGGGGTGGAATGATCGACCAACGGGACGGGTATGGCAGTTGCAGAGCGATAGCAACAGCTTCGACTTCTTCCGCGGGTTGGTAAAGCGCAAGGTATAGAAATAAAAAAACACTTGCCAATTAGGCTAAAAGAATTCATGTCTATAACTACTGTTCAATATTTCCTCTAACAAACAGAAGATATTTTGGATAATTTGATTCGCAAACCTTAGAATTTCATGCTGGTGTTAATATCCGTAATGCAGGAATGGACAAGGGAAGCCCTTCATTTCCCAGGTGGCGGGGCTTCTTGGTCGTGAAACAGAAACTCATCAAGTCCACGACCTGCTGGGACCATCGGGAGCGATATGGCTTTCTGAGTTATCATGGCTTCAAGGAGCGCCGGGCCATCAATCTCCAACAACCACTTCAGTTTCTCATCAGTCTCAGTCGTATTCGAACAGCGTTCAGCCTGGACGCCCATAGCCCGTGCCGCCTCAACAAAATCAAGATTGCGATGATGGCTGTGGAAAAAGCGATAATTATAGTACACGGATTGAAGATGCGTGACCATGCCTTGCTCCTCATTGTTGAGGACGATTGTTTTCACGTCAATATTGAACTGGCTCGCCGTCAACAACTCGTTCAATGTCATGTTGAATGACGCATCCCCGTCAATATCGATCACAAGAGCATCTGGTCGGGCGAGTTTCGCACCAATAGCCGCCGGTAGTCCATCCCCCATAGTCCCAAGGCCTCCAGAAGTGATAATCGTGCGGGGATATTGCCATCGGAAGTGCTGCGCGGTCCACATCTGATGTTGACCCACACCAGTGGTAATAATTGTGCGATCTTTCACTGGATCCACGAGCTCACTCAGACGCTCTATGAAGGCTTGCGGTTGAACGAGTCCATAGGCTTCACCTTGCGGGTATGCCGAGAAGGCGAAGTGAGTCTTCCATTCCGCAACTTGCGCAAGCCAGTCTGGTCGCTCCGTACGGTCAATGAACGGCATTAAGAGTTGAAGGTTGTCTGTACAATCGCCCACTACAGCTTCTGTTACGTCAACGACTTTATTGATGTTTTTGGGGCTGATATCGAAATAGATGATTCCGCCACGTTCTTCTTCAACAGCTTTCCTAGCTTTGGGCGCAAACTTAGGTACGTGGCCCGTCACGCGGTCATCAAACCGGGCTCCTAGGGCGATGATCAAATCAGCTTCCTGGATTGCCTTTTTGGCATACCCGGACCCGTGCAGCCCGAGCATATGTAATGCTTTGGGGTCCTTTTCGTCAAATGCCCCGAGTCCTTGAAGACTTGTAGTGACTGGAATCGACGCCTTGTCTGCCAACTCCTTCAGAAGCTTTGGTCCCTCTGGACTGACAATAATTCCTTGCCCGACATATAGAACTGACCGCTGCACAATGTTGATCAACTTGGCTGCCCGTTTTATTGTGGTTATCGATTCTTCACGGCGAGAGTGCTGTATGGCCATGTCTGGCGGAAAGACATCTGATTGAGGAATAGGCTGTTGCAGAATACCTGCAGTAATATCTTTTGGCAGTTCAATCAATACTGGGCCTGGACGACCACTGGTCGCTATCTCAAACGCTTGGTTGATGCGTCTCGGCAACTCAGCGATGTCCCTAACGGCAAAATTCCACTTAGTACATGGCCTAGATATACCGAGAACATCTGCTTCCTGGAAGCTGTCAAGGCCAATGGAGGGAGGGTAGCCTAAGCTGAATCCCAGCTTAGGCCACACTCACCCTGCTCTGGAACACAAGGAGAGCACTGTGCTCGAAAGCCCTGCGCATACAGGCGGTTTGGGGCGAGGATAAGGGATCAGAAAAATTGTAGAAGGGGGCTAGCGCCTCAGGAACTTATAGGGATAAGAGACTGTAGAATAGCTACTGGCCTCAAGTCCACGAATAATGGTCTATCATAGCTCTAGGGCTCGGTATGGACAATAAACTTGATTAAATGTTGGAGAGCCTCAGGCTCCAATATGCCCCGCTCCTGATTGGCCCGCACTAGCGAGCCCACACACAACCGCCGGATAGAGGAGATCCACCCTCATCCATCTACACAGACAGACATGTCACAGGCTGCGCCTGTCGCATAAGCGATATGTCTAGTCAAGCGGAGAGGCTACCAGACGGAGAGATTATCAGAGGAACTATTTACCCGCACTGCGCACACATGTATTTAGAGCCGCTCGATCGGGCATCCGTCCGATATTTCTTCAACGAAATCTTTTGTGTCAAAGCTAGTCATTAGCATTTCCGGGCCTAGCCCTTAACAAGACACAGAATACAATAGTATCGTCGATGTCGTTCCTTGCCATAGCCTGATTCCCATTAAATAATAATAATAATTCGCACAGCCGTGTATCGCGCGCTCTCTGCGATTTTTGCGACTTCTTCGTTGTAATAGAGGGTAACTACATTGCTGTTCATGGTCCTGAACCCAATATGTGTTAGGACGTTGCTCCAACTGATGCGTTCTGATTTTGACATACCAAACAATTTCCACAAGGCACAGCACCGTCGCCTGCAGGGAGAAGAATTAGCATGTGTCAGGTCAACATTCTCTTCGATTGTTGACATTTCACTTTTTTTTTTTTTTTTCCTGCAGTAACTGCAAGCCTGGGGTATCTTAGGGCGTTCTCTATTTGGAGGTATGGAGTTCATGGAGTTCTGGAATGGGGGAAGATGACAGGGCTGGGCTTTGTGGTGAGTGTCACGGGCTCGGAAACTAGCAGATAAAACGAATAATATTGATATCTAGACTAGGAAGTAAACTAAGGCAAAATGAGTTGAACCATCTCCGACGTTTCATATGGGCCGCAAGATTATGAGGTTGGCAGACCAGGAAGAAAGCGTCACAACCTGGCTTCTCTCGTATCGTAACCTAGGGTTTTAGTTAGCTAAGTCTCAGTTCAGGGCACTCGCCTGAGTGTCCTTCGTCGTCGGTGTATATCGATAATGACCCCTAGGGTCTGTCCAGTGATGCAGTGATGTGCCGCTTGGTATATCGCCCCAGCCAGGCTCCGTAAACAAGTAAGATCGATAAGGTAACGAAGCAGAGAAACAAGGCCAACTGAGTACGTAACTACGCAAATTTTGATTACAACGAAGATGAAGTGAGGTCGGAGTTCAGAATCGGGGTTACAGTATCTCCGGCGCTAGAGTGTCACCGGACGACCCGGAGACCCGCCCCGAACCCCAAAGCCCAACGGGCTGGGCTTTGGGTCAAGGGTCCTTGGCCCGCTACGGGTCTGGGTCCAAAGGGCTCGCCCCGCGGGCTTTTGGGCATGCCCAAATATGGCCTGTTTGACCCCAATACAAGGCCACACGGATTGTTCTATACCATGTCAACATCATCTATATCTATGTCTATCTATATAAATCAATCGATAGATATCAATATATATGGCCTGCGACCGATCACTCTATGCCTTGTCGATATGTTGATGTACGGGAATACAAAAGATACTGGACTTACTAGCCATAGTTAGATTAACTAGTTAGTGCGTTCCCTGGTTACCTAATAGAGTATAGTGCCATCAGCTTCGGGCTTTTGGGCTAAGCCCGCCCCGAGTGACACTCTAATCTCTGCCGCGTAATGGCATCATGAAATGTTCCAAGCGGTAGTGCGCGATTAAAAATTTCCTTCCTATGTATCAGTCCACGTCATATAGTCAAGCGCGGGGACCGTATTTGGGAAAGCGTGATTTTTACTGACTGTGTCGTTTCCAGCCCTACTTTCAAACACAAAAAGGGGAAACTTGCTCTTTTCACTCTGGAGAGTTATAAACTACATTCTGTCGAAGTTGACAGTAAAGTCAACTATCCGTGTTAGGCATACAACCGTGCGCGCAATCAAGATGAAATCCATTTCAATTGGTCGCGGTGCGCAGATGCCTTTGGTTGGATTTGGCTTATGGAGAATAAATAATGAATCCTGTGCCGATGCCGTTTACAATGCCATCAAATCTGGGTACAGGCTCTTCGATGGTGCTTGCGGTACTGTTCCAACCACATAATAATCAGTTGTTAATTGTCTCGCTGATAACATCGCACAGATTACGGGAATGAAGCGGGAGCCGGTGAAGGTGTTGCTCGCGCAATCAAAGATGGACTGGTTAGACGAGAGGATCTTTTCATTGTTTCTAAACTTTGGAACACCTACCATGAAGCGCACAGAGTGGGAGAAATCGTCGCAAAACAGTTGGCGGACTGGCAGGTTGACTATTTTGATTTGTACTTGATGCATTTCCCCATTGCCCTGAAATACGTCTCGCCAACCGTCCGGTACCCCCCTGGGTGGTATCACGAGGGAACCAGAGTGCGACCCGATATGGTCAGTATCCAGGAAACCTGGCAGGCAATGGAAAGTCTGGTGGATCAGGGCTTTGTCAAAGAAATCGGAGTTTCTAATTTTTCGGGCTCTCTCTTGATGGACCTTCTACGTTATGCACGCATTCCGCCTGCGTCATTACAGATTGAACATCATCCATACCTGACCCAGGAAAAATTGGTTCAATTTGCGCAAAAGAACGGCATTGTGGTCACTGCATTCTCATCGTTTGGGGGACTGTCGTATCCGAAAATCGATAAGACAGCCTCAAAAAGCGTCTTGCCACTCTTGGAACACCCAACTATAGTTTTGATTTCCGAAAAGGTTCGACAGGCACCGTCACAGGTGCTTCTCAGATGGGCGACGCAACGTGGCATATCAGTCATTCCAAGAAGTACCAACGTGGAACGAATGAGTCTGAATTTAACTTCCACGGACTTTGATCTGGAGGAGAGCGACATAAAAAGCATCAGCGATCTGGATGTTGGACTCCGATTCAACGATCCGATGCAAGTAAGTATACCTTACCTGGCAGGTGAAGCGCGCTAACTCATTGTGTAGTTCCTGGGCCAATTTCCTATCTATTATTGATCACTGACCAAGCTCCGTCACAGACCAGGGCCAGTGTAATACGTTTCAAATTATTGGGAGAGAAAGCAGACTAGATCTCGGTGTATGGTCAATTCAGAAAATTCCGGGGTTTTTGGACATTAGCAAACATGTCTTCAATTTTGATTTTATTGATGTACCCGGTTCTTTCCAGGGGTTTGGGTTGCCACAGCCTAATACAAACCACAAAGTAACACAATTTTTATTGAACGCACTAAATATTTTTGTATTTTTTCTAACCATGAATGTATTATCATGAACATCTGCTTATGGCATAACTAGAGTTGCATTCGGCGCGGATTGGCGCGGATGGAGGGTGCCCTACATCCACGCCGCGCGGATTAAGCCGCAAAAGCCGCACTAGAGCCCAAGTAGGAAGGTACTAGGCCATATATGGCTAACTAGTCTCCGTGCTTAATCACCACTTAGTATCACCCTTACCATCGCATGCTCAGCTTGTATATTGATATTTCAAGCCATCTATATAGTAAATATATCAATTTCTTATTAAATATCTATTAAATATCCATCATATACCCCTATATATTAATATATATACATATCGATATCTATATGGAGGGTGGGTGGTGGTTTGGGTAGAATGTCGATGGAGATATATAGATATATATTTCGGCTTCATACATCACGCATACATACAGTCGATTTTTAGTTTTTAGTGAATAACTCCCCAACGAGGGGGCCTATGGGACTTATATTTTGAATATAGTTAGATTTATATATGCTCTATATGCCTATATAAATATATTTGAGATATTTCGATGCTTTGCTGCTTAATAAGCCAAATGGATGACTGCGGACTTTCTCAAGTTTTCAAAACCCGCCTCAAAACCCATCAAGTATTCGCACATCGCAAACTCACGCAACGCGTGTCAGTTTCTTCATCTTTTTCACATCTATATCTTCCCAGCATAGAACAGCCACGAACGTCACCACGTACAGGCACGTCGAAGCAATCAACATGATCCGTTGGGTGTCAGCGTACGAGTGAGTGACACCCAGTCGCTCGGGGCTTCCATCAACGAACGAGCTTTGTGTGTCAATGTCTCCGTATATGGTACTAAGGTCCGGTAGAGCAGACTTGGGCAGGTATCGGGCCAGTCTGTCAGAGAATACTCCAGTCCAAATGGCCGATGCAATGGCAGAGCCAACGGCTTTTCCAGCAGATGCCAACAGTGATTCCACCGCGAGTAAAGCAGCGACGTGTTGCGGGGGCGAGACTGCCATGAGCGTCATTTGCTCAAAGGGATACATGGTTCCTGATCCAATCAAGACAATAATTTGGCACATAATGACGAGACGGATATCAGTTTCCTTGGTGCGGTATTTGATCATAAGGCCCGTTCCAAGCATGACGACTGGGATCCCGAGGGTGAGTGAATAGTACTTGATGTGGCCGTAGTAACGACATGCCACCCCGAGCATGAGCATCCAAATCGTGCTACCGACAAAGTAAATATTGTTGATGTAGGTCGCGTTCGTTACACTTTGACGCCAGAAGACAATGAGCATTGAGTAGAAATAGGCATTCCAGATGAATCCCGCCACTTCCCAAAAGAACATCATGATGTTCGTAGAGATCACAGTTCGGTTGACAAGTAGGTACCACGGCACAAATGTCGTCGGCGCCAGATATCAGCAGAGGAAGCCATTCGGGAAGGCTCTTGACATGACCGTTAGCTGTGATCAGGGACTGACATTGTCCACTTTATCTTCTGTCATTGTATCGGTCCATCAGCACCTTGACTATTGATGGAAATCGATTATCGGGGACCATTGACTTCCTGTCACCGAAAAAAAGTCTCGCAGATGCTTTTCGGGGACCACTCGATCACGCCAGCCATTGTGCTTGTCGAATGGGCATTTGGAGACAGACATAGGAGATTAGATACTATCTCAGTACCATATTCATCCGTTACAGTCTGTTTCCATTTGTCGACCTTTTCCTTTTGCCAAAACAGCTCATCTCCCGCGTTATTAACGAGAATGATTGATTGTTATGTTCATTCATGACCGGTTGCTCGGGTCTTGTTAGGTCCGAGAGCAAGAGGAAATCCCGCCATGGTCGAGAGCATCCCTAAGCCTCTGCAGTAAAGGCCAGGGGAAATCAACCCGTCTTAGGACTCGAGATCTGTGAGATGAGTGTATTAATAACCATCTTGATCAGGGATGGACGGGAGGATCTACCATATTGCTTTCTATTCGTAGACAATGCCATCTAGCCTGTGACTCCGGGGAATGGCTGCCATCTTCGTGGAACGAAAAAAAGTATGAAACGACAATGAATCAATGGGATGGACCTTGGATGGCTCGATGGGACCTCCGATAGAGAGTTGATGATGAGTGAGAGAGAGAAGAAATTGAGAAGCGATGGATGAGGTGGGCTTATATAGAACCAAGTCCATTCACCACGATTGAGTCAGTGCCTTCACTCCGCAACTACCAGGACGATTCATTTTCGATTCCCTCTTGGATATTGAATGGCCTCTACGGCTGCCGACACTCATCATGAACATTCAACGCTCATGAATCCAGCAGACGATAATGTGGGATGATTATTAAAGGGGATATCCGACAGTGCAGTGAGGGGTAATTCGGCCCCCATCTTGGCTGGGCCATGATCCGCCTCTTGTACACCATCTTGGATGTAGCGACAGGCCCACCTCTTGGTATCATGGCATTAAGCAAACACGACCACGTAGACTGATTGGTTGCATTATCAGAAGGGAGTGTTCCCATTGGCTACTCTCTCGTTAAAATAGACAGGGAAATGGATCCGTTGACGGGAGGGGCTCGGGAAGGCAGATAAATAGTGGGATGCCACTGAATCAGTTGAAAGTTCATTTCTTCTGCAACTGACTCACGATGGCTCCAAATGTGTTTTTGTAAGTCTTCTTCATAGCATTATATCTTGTCTAACGACTTAGAACCGGCGCCACGGGCTATGTTGGCGGTGACTTTCTGTATGTTCTCACAAAGGCTCATCCGGATTGGAATATTTCAGCCTTGGTGAGAAACGTCGGCAAGGCAGCCATCCTGTCTAAAGAGTATCCGAAAGTCCGAATCGTCAGCGGCGACCTTGACTCGGCCGAGGTCATCGAAGAGGAGGTCCAGAATGCAGACATTGTCTTCCGTATTTTCCCCACCAAACTACCTACTTGTATAATACTAACATTATAGAAATCGCCGACTGCGACCATGTCGGGGCAGCGAAAGCGATCGCCAAAGGCGCTGCTTACCATACCTCCGATCGACCATGCTGGGTGATTCACGCGTCTGGAACGGCGAGTTTTAGCTTCGAAGATACCCGAGAAAAGACGTACGGGATTGAGCGGACAAAGGAATACAATGATTGGGATGGACTTGACGAGCTGTTTAACCTCCCTGACGATGCATTCCATATTGACGTGGAGAGAACCATTATCGCAGTTGGTCGAGTCGATCCGCAGCGTATCAAAACGGCTATCGTTTCTCCTCCGACGGTATATGGCCCTGGTCGTGGCCCTACCAAACAGACCAGCATCCAGGCGTACTTCCTTGCTAAGGCCGTCCTCCAACGAAAGAAGGGGATCATCGTTGGCGAAGGGAGGAATCTTTGGAGCCAAGTCCACGTCCAGGATCTCAGCGATCTCTTCCTCTCCCTCGCCGAGGCAGCAGCAGCAGGAGGGGGAAACGCAACCTGGAACGACGAGGGATATTATCTCTCCGAGAATGGATGGTACGTATGGGGTGATGTCGAAAGAGCCATTGCGCAGGCCGCGTATGAAAAGAATTATATTCCAACTACCGAGCTTACGCCCTTTGGAGAGGATGAGGAGTTGGGAGACACGCTTGGATATGGACTGCTCATGTGGGGATCGAATAGCAGGGGGACTTCTATTAGGGCAAAGAAACTGCTTGGATGGAACCCTACAATGCCCAGTATGCTGGAGGAGGTTCCGGGGATTGTTGAAGGAGAGGCAAGAGCGTTGGGTTTGGCTGAGTAGTTATAGTAGGAGTACCAGGGAATGAAGCAATGTCTACAAAGCATCAGCTGCAATGATGCCACAAAGAGGCTAGGATGCGGACACCAAAGCAGAGGTGCGACATTTCATTGGTGGGGGGATGTACTTATGGAGTCTTCAAGAGAGGGGTAATATAGCGCCAGAAGATGTCTGAAAGATGAGGTAGCTTGTGTAACGTGAGAATCCCATATAAAATACCCCGCACACACATTTCAACTTTCGATCCACTAAAGCACATTGGCAGAAACAATGAACAGAGAGTCGTCGAGATTATTCAAACCATTGGACATAGCCAATGGAAAGATCAGGCTGGAGCATCGTATTGTTCATGCACCAGTTACCCGGAACAGAGGCGTGCCTCTGAATGCCACGAGCATCCCGGAAAACCCAAACCGGGTATGGTATCCGGGAGAGTTGATGGCAAAATACTATGGCCAGCGAGCGACTAAAGGAGGGTTAATTATAAGTGAAGCTATTCCTATCACTCTCGAGGTGGGCTGACTCTAAAGATGTTTTGATAGGCAAAGAATTATCTGCTAATATACAACAGAGTAGTGGAATGCCCGGTTCTTCTGGGCTATTCATTCCTGAACAAGCGGAGGGTTGGAAGAAGGTCGTTGATGCCGTTCACGAACAAGGAGGATATGTCTATGGTCAACTCTGGCATGCTGGCCGTGCAACAATTCCTCAGATGATCGGTGCACCGCCAGTGTCTGCATCAGCCACGCCGTGGGATTCTCCTACGGATCTTTATGCGTATCCTCCAGTGGGAGAGACAGAGCGTGTCCGCTATGCTGATTATCCTCCGATTGAACTTTCTATCGAAGGGATTAAAGCGATCATCCAGGATTACTGCAAGGCCGCACGGACAGCCATGGAAATCGGATTCGATGGGGTCGAGGTAACCAGCGCAAATGGTTATCTTCTCGAGCAGTTCTTAAGCACCAATGTTAACAAAAGAACTGATGAATATGGAGGAAGCGTGGAGAACCGCTGTCGGGTTGTGCTTGAATTGATGGACGAACTGGCCAAAACGGTCGGCGAGGACAATCTGGCTATTCGATTGACGCCGTTTGGACTGTTCAATCAGAACAGAAGTGAGCAGAGAGTTGAAACATGGTCGTATCTTTGCCAGAGTTTGAAGAAGAATTTGAAGTTGTCCTATGTGAGCTTTATAGAGCCGGTATGTATCCCCCTTATATAATGACGTATACTGACCAGTCAGCGATTCGAACAATTCGACAGCTACGAGTACAAAGACGACATCCTTCGCAGCTGGGGCCTACTGGGAGTGACTCTAGACAAATTCCGTACTATCTTCGGCAACACTCCGTTCTTCTCTGGTGGTGGCTTCGACGATACAAACTGCTGGGAAGTGGTGGAATCAGGCACATACAATGGTCTACTCTTTGGAAGACTGTTCGGTAGTAATCCTGACTTGGTGGAGAGATTGAAGAAAGGGTTGAAGCTATCAATGTGGGATGATAACAAGCTCTTTGGCCCGTTTGAGGATAACTCAGTTGGATATGTCGATTATCCTACAGCGGAGTGTATATAACGACTGTATATAGACATTTACAACGAAACATTGGTGAAGGGGATAGCAATGTAATAAGAACTGAATTGAAAGAGTCTGTATACAAGGCATACGTACAGCAAAAAGCAACTATCTTACCAACGCCATCTCACAGATACTTCTATTCTCCCACTCCAAGGCCCCAGATGTATGCGAAATTAATCTGCACACTGCAGGGGCTATTGTTGGCAATAAGATCAAACGAATAATCCTTAATGTCAGTAAACTCCCCCGAATCAAAGCGATGCGTGCGGATGCAACAGCCACAGGCAGAAGTGCAATGTCCATGGCTCAGTTTGCGCCGCGTATCGCGAGGCTTCTCGCAACATCCACACTCTCGTAGATCTCTCGTTGCACAATCCAGCGGCCTTTGATGTTCAAGACAACCACGTCATGACACCATTTGCGGCTCTCATTTGTCCAGTACTGTGCTTTGTGGAGGTAAATGCTGACACTAAAAGACAATCTCGTCTCATTGGTTTCCTTGAACTCCGCTGCCATGTATGTAATGGCGGGCGAGAACATGCTCGAGGCAAGCGGGGAGATCAGATTCATGGTGCTGATGAGTGCGAGTAAGGCCCATTTCTTGCCTGCGGAGAAGTTCTGTGGGTTTTTGGGGTCATCTTGTCCGTCCCAGCCTTCTATTCCGCGGCTAAGCTTTGTTTCTGGGAATAGTTCCGCGTCAGGTGTTGGCTTTTTTTCGAGGTCTGGTGTTTTGTTTCTGACGCTGTCTTCTTCCTATATATTGAATGATTTGAATTGGACTTTTTCTGCAGAGTATCCATGACAGGTGACAAGTATCTGAGAAAATATATAGATAGGAATGGAATTCCCTGGCATGTGGGGGGAAAGGGAATAGATGGGCGCCTCAAGGAGAAGCAGAGTTAGATAGTTTCAAAAGAATCGTAGAGAACAATCGATTAGATATAAAAGCAAAATAAGAAATAAAGAATTATATCAGGTTAACATGAGCCCGGAGAGATATCCGAAGGTTTTGTATACATTGCCGGAGTAGACTAGTTTATGTGCGATGCATCCGTTCCCATGGGCGTTACGAACTGATTCTCATAAGACTCAATCATAAATGCAATTATGCACATTATGCCGGCTCATAAAATTTGAGAAAAGGAGGCGAAGGGTTTGATCTAGACCCTACATCCGGAGCAGCAATGATTCGGCGTTCCGCTTATATCTGCCAAGCACCAATCACAGTTCCCCAGGATAGCCAGCGGACTATGGGTACCAGCCGGCCGTGGGTGGCCCGTGCCCAGGTCTATGTCTGAGGCTGCGGTTGTGCTCGGGGTATTCAAGTCATCCAATTTTTGAATTAATTGCTCTGTTGCAGTAAGGGGGGGGGGGACCTTTTCGGAGTCAGACACCTGTGGACAACTTCCGCCTTCCGATTAGTCAGCGGAATCATAGACCTCGGGATTTGACCGCGCGAGAGCTCGGCATTTGAAAATCCCGAGTACGGAAATGAGGAGAGAGGATCTGCACTCGATGTGGACCCGGTCCACCAGCCAGTATATAAACTAAAAAATCGCCCGGCTTGTTCAGGGAAGACAAATTTACGTTTCATTCTCGCCCGGCAAGACTGTGCCGTGCTCCTTCTCTTCTAACTTACTAAGTGGTCGGGAAAAATGACGTACAGTCAGAGAAACAGCCATATAAAACCTGCCGCAGTGCCGGGCAAAAATCTACAATTTACTGTCTCATAGTGGAGAAATATCAAACCAACAGCTATGTCTTCCAATGTTTCAGCAAAACATCCCACAAGCGAGGGCGTCCTCATTGTATGCTTTCAAGTCATGAACTGGACAAGTTGAATCCCGTGCTGACAAATTGTAGATCGGAGCAGGAATTGCCGGTTTGACGCTGGCTCAGGCCCTTCGTCGCCACGGAGTACCTTGTACAGTCTTTGAGCGCGATGAATTCCCGGAAGTTCGCAACCAAGGATGGGGTGTTTCCATCCACTCCACTTTGATTACATGGGAAGCGCATATTTTGCCAGAGATTTATGACCGCGTTTGTGAGGCACAGGTGAATCCTGCTATCGGTCCTGATGAAGTCCGCGGAGTCCCATGGATTAACGGCGCGACGGGACAAGTCGAGCAGTCTGTTCCAGAAAGCAAGAGGCTTAGGCTGAGACGGGACGGAATCCGGAGGGCTCTCATGGAGGGTCTGAACATTAAGGTTAGTCAAAAGATTTCCTTTCGTTCTATTTATCCTTGTCTACCTGAAGCTTACTCGCATATAAGTGGGGCAAACGACTTGTAAACATTGAGAAATTTAAGGGTGGTATCCGAGCCGAGTTCACGGATGGCTCTACTGTTCTAGGAAATGCCCTAGTGGGTGCAGATGGTTCGACCTCGATCGTTCGCAAGTTTCTCGCGCCCACAACCCACAAACTGCATCGCCTTCCTATCAATGCTGTGGGTTGTGCCCTGACGATGAGTGAAGAGCAAGTCAATTATTTCAAAGATCACGTCGATCCACTTTATTTCATGGGTACGCACCCAGAAACAGATACTTTTTGTCAGGGTGCAGGGTCAGGTAGCGATATATATTAGGAATTGACGAACAGGGTAAGCTACGGTCAGGCTATCTACAGGTTCATAGACAAGACGCAGCTCGAAGAGCTGCAGCAGAATCGGCGTTGGCGCAGACAGATATCTCTGTGGGTCACGTGCCTAGTCACGTGCATAGATCACGGGCTGGCACCGTGACAGTACTCCCCCCCTCAAGGCCGAGCTCCGTCGAGGCTAGGCCCAGGCTTATGGGGATAGCGGCGATGATAGTTGGCAATAATCTCTCGGGCATGCTCCAGGTATGCAGCTGGTTCTTCAGTGAGATCATTGTAACCAGTCCACTTGACTGTATATTTC